AACTGAGCACCTGCTTGGAGCGAACAGGCGATAGCGCTCCACTAACACCGCTCTGTGGAGGAACACCACGCTGGCCAGCCCATGTCTCTTCCCAGTGACCCAGGAGACGGCTCTGTCATCCCTGATTCTGACTCACCAGCAACATCTGTAAGTGAGCGGCCCCGTGCCTCTGACCTGTAGTCACACTGAGCTGTGCCCTTATGGCTGTGCCCAACATAATTGTCTGTGGAAACCTCCCCGAGGCTGTAAATGCAGCTTGTTTCAGATCTCCTGATGATTTCACAGGACATTTAACTTAACACCTCTCATTTGTTACCTCTTCAGGGCATTTCCAATTTCCATTACCAAGTTCCCAAGGTATGTACCAAGCCCTTAACCTCCACTAGCTTTTAATGCGTGCATAAATTGCCTTGGGGATAACGTGACACTGCATTCAGTAGTGACATGTGTTTGTGTGAAGGCTTAAAGGGACAGGACACCCTGAAACACCTGGAGTACTCTTTATAAACCAGTTGGTTTTGGTGCCTTCTGCCCAATGATACGGTACAATAAAATAGTTCCAACATGAAAATGCGCAAAACAAGGTGTGAGAATCAATTGTTCGTCACAATTGATTTATGTAAGAGTAACTGCTGTTTAGCCTTTTTAAGGTATGTTTTTGCTGCTCTGAGCTTCTAAGGCAGGGGTGTCAAACTTAATTTCATCACGGGCCACATCAGCATTATGGTTGCACTCAAAGGGCCGGTTGTGACTATATAAAAAGACATATATAAATATTGAATATATATGAAATAACTTATTATATTACATTATTGCCTCTGCATTGGATTATTATCGGATAGGGTAATAACTTCATAATTAACTACGTCTGAAAGCAGAAGTCTAGGGCAAATAATTGCAAGTCTCTTCAGTGAGAATGTCACAATATGATTTTAAAAGAAAAGCCACATTCTGAAAAAAAGAAGAAGTGACATTTTGAAAAAAAAATCTATGAGAAAAAGGCTAATTCTAAGAAAAAAGGCATATTTTGACCAAAAAAAGTCAAATTCTGAGAAAAAGTTAAATTTGAGATGCATTGTGGGACATGTCGTTTATGGGTAACGTGCTTCTGTAAAGTAGCATGTTACAGTATAATAAACATATTATATTCTTTGCAAGCTCTTGTGGGGCCACATAAAATGAAGTCGCGGGCCAGATTTGGCCCCCGGGCCTTGAGTTTGGCACCCCTGTTCTAAGGGAAAGCACCATAAGTTTCATAATATTGGAGAAAAGGCATACATATACGAGCAATATTTCCAACACTGGGCAACTCACAACTAAACAATCATAGACTGATAAATAGTGCTACAGGTAAGACAAAAATATGACCTTTAAAACTGAGTAGTGCCAAAACATTGGGAAATTGCACACAGTGTCTTCTGTCTGACACTTTAATTGCCGAATGAAATTTACATCAGCTAGAAACAAAGCTGCAGAGGTTTGAATGAGCCCTGCTTCAGGTCATGCTACACTCGCTCTTACAACAGTTTCTTTGTGCCACAAGAATATATTAATTTCATGAGTCAACAGGCTACGACTGGCAGTTTGTGTCGAGCTAAACAGTGTTTAATTGGATTCTGATCCATGGCAACACCACTGGAGCCTTGTTGCATCTTTTATTTCAGCAGCACCTGGAGCGTAATGGTGGTGATTACATCCCTCCTGTGGTGTCCCGGTGGTTGAGCCTGCACAGGCCCATGGGAACACGCTGCTAACAGTCACGGTCCGTGCTGCCCTGCTGCCCTGTGCGGCTGCTGGGAGCCTCTGTTACAGCACCGCTGAGACAAGCACAGGTTCAAATGGAATCATGGTAATACAAATCAAACTAATTGTTTACAGCACAAAGTATTACACAGTGGAGATGCTAATCAACAGATCAAGACAGACTCTTATTTGTACAGGCATAACATTTAAAACTGTTCACTTCAAAGTAAATGTCATGTATGTGTATTAAACTCAATCAATTTGCTTTACATCAAAGACAAACACAAAGTGCTAATGGTTGTGGTATTTTTTCAGGGAGAAAAGAGCGTGTCCAATTAGAAATAAACAATAATGCAGATTTTTACAGCATGGGATGAATGGTGATATTTGACCAGCAGTTGAAGAAGCAATCTTCCCACGTCCATTCAAGCATTTGATCATACAATCCTCCATAGAAAATCAGGCAACTCCAAAGAAAAATGTGTCCTACGAATCAAAGCTCAAGAACATTTCGAGATCTTTTTATATAACTGTATTTAATGTCTTTAGAATAGAATTAGATTTGCAAAATAATGTTGTTGAAGATGCATTTTTCATTTAAGGATCAAATTGTAGAGAATTTACTTTCATGTAAAACAAACAATTACATTACATTCATGACTTGACATTTGGTCGAATACAATACATTTTTTGTGTAATTTGCGGAGCTTAGAATACAAATAGAAAGACATTTTCAAGTTTAAGTTCTATATTTATGCTCAACAAATAACACACAAGCAGGCGCTGGCAATGGAAACCTTACATTTCAGGCTTGTCAAATCATGCAAATCCAAATAGAAAAAAAGGTTATGCAGGAAGAATACAAAGAAATATAATACAGAGTGGAGTGAAGGTGTTTGGAACACCCTTTCTCAATTTGTCAAACATCCTTACATTTCCAAAATAATTTCATTGGCAAGAATGCAATCTTCAGAGAATGAAATAGCTGAGAATGGATTCTCATGTAAAATCTGAATTTAAATATATTTTCAAACGAATGGCACAAATTTAAAATGAAAATCTATCAGCCTCATCGGAGGGACACCAGATAACGATGCCCTTAGAGGATCCAACAGAGCGACCCCCTCACATAATCCTGGGAAAAGGTCACTGACCCCTGCCGGTGGAGATTGGGGAGAACGGCCTGAGCATATAGTGAGCCCTGACAGCACGGGGAGGCATAACATCGCTGGGCCTCTGACCTTCAGTGGAGCCCCACTCCGTCTTACAACACAGAGTCAGACGCATGTGAATAATACATCAGCCTCTACTGCTGGGACCCACCCCCACCACTCACACTAGTAAAGCTAAAACACAGGATTCACATCATAGAGTGGGGTTTGTCTTCCACAGCAGCTCAAACAATAATGAACACAGATAGTTTGGCATGCTGAGGAACAGTCCCTGTCCATCACAACATGTTTATACATGGATTTTTGTTGCTGTACTGAATTGGCACACATATTGTATTGTAATATATTGGTATTAGATGTTACACAGATTTTTTCATCCTCAGTTCAGTTTCCTGTGCAGGTCACACCTACGGTTTGTCCAAAGCTTAATCCTTTCTTTTATTCTCTAGTATTTAATTTGTGATTCACTTTTTCTATTTTAGTTCCTTTTTTTCCAAGAGCTCTAGCAAAGGCTTAAAATAGATGGGAAAAAGCAGCAGTTGTGGCCCCTATAGTAATTTCTCACCTCCATGCACGTAAGTGAACAATAGATCGTGCCGCGAGAATTCTGCTGTTTACACAGAGTGAATGAACAGAAATGCATGAAACATTTTTTAAATCCCCTGTGATTCCTGGAAAGGCGGGCTGCGTCTCTCTTGTCTTCATCTGCTTTACATACAGGAACAGCTCTGCGGTTTGCACTGAGATATTTGAATTTCATAGAGTGTTTGACATTTGATAATAGTGCTGTGTGTTTATAGATTCTAGACTTTCCTGCTGAAGGTTCCCTATCATGTTTGTTCAGGCTTACCCCCTCGGAAAAAAAGCAATTGAATATATAACAAATTCAAATATCTCTGTGTGACATCAAAAAGACAAACACAATTATTGTTTTAGCTCCGCGTCAGGGGATACATATCAATTTGCCTTGTAGGAATAATTTCATTTACATAAAATATTCGGAGTAACAGATGCAATGAATGAAAACAAATGTTTGTGCAACATTTATTATGAAGGAAGAATTGCTTTATTAATTCCACATTATAACATGAGGTTCTTCACCTGTTGAGACAGATTTATTTTTTATACAACGTGTCTCTTTGTGTAACTCAGTCTGTCACAGTAAAATTGTTGTAATTTAATTGACTTTAGCCTATAGCCTACCGATGATAACAATTCCATTGTATTTGTTATCTCAAAATCACAAGTTATTACGCAATTAGGTGCACATTTGTTTTACTAAGATAACTCAAAATGTTAGAAAAGTGAAAAATAAAAAGGTCCATGAATGTGTTTGTCATTATTTCTAAATAGCACGTGTTTTCCTGAGATAACGGGATAAAATGTTTAATGCATGAAAACATTTTTGTTTCTGTGATCTCTTGATAAATATCCCGTTATTTGAGAAAATAATATTATCTTTTAGAGATAATTACCTAAATGACAAACAAATAACATTAACTTGTTATAGCAGGGATAAGAGAGGAAATTAAATGTTTGAATGACTGCTTTTATACTGTTGACTTAACTATTATAATTTTCAAAATAATTTCATTAACTACCGGAATTCTTGTGAAAAAAATGGAGTCTACTTGTTGTTGAAAAACAGGGGCAATACAATGTTTAAACCATGGCATTTTAAGGTTTCCATAGCAACACAACAAAAGACAGATGCTTATGTTCAAGGCTGAGGTTGTGGACAAATGTGACAATGTAGGATAGTGTATGCAACATTATACTTGCAAAATGAATGAGCAGGTGATTATACAGTGTACACAACTCTATGATCCACACGCAGTAGTTTAATCAGTGTCTGTCACTGCCTTTCACAGACGTGTCCTGTGTGCAGGGGTTACTACCCTCTACTGGTGCACAGAGTCAATGCAGAGCAACTATAAAAAATACGTTTGAAAAAAATAAATTGCTTCAATTGCAACGAAAGTGAGCTCGAGTATTTGTAACATTTTCAGAAACCTTTTAATCAGTTTTAAGCACTTGAACATAACGCGGAACCAATATTCCCCGCTGTCCGAGTTTCCTTCCGGTGTGTTTTTGTCGTCCCACTCCAGCAGCAGCGTTGAAGCGGACTATTATTTAAAAGATATAATAAATTGGATAAACGGTATAAATGTTGTGAAAACAGGTAAATATACAATTTAAAGTGTTGAATTCGGCTACAGCCAGCACTGTTTAAAATGAATTGAATATAACGTTGGTTTACACGTGTTACTTTATTCAACGTTAACCGACTTAATTTTTAGTGCAGCTTTCTCTAAATGCCATATTCAGATTGATATTAATATTATCTTATACACTAGAGCTTTGGTTGTCATCAACTCCGACTACTTTTGAGTAGGAATCTATTAATATATCGTTACAAAGATTGAAAATCATTGTTTGTTATGCTTACATTTTGTGGATTTAATTGAATGTGTGTACTGTCTTAGCACTCCAATAACAACTGAGTATATTAAACCACATCCTTGTATGTCCAGCTCTCACATTTAACTTGCATTTGAGGGTTTAAATATATCTTTAAATTAAAATTGCACTAATGGTGCAGCCTTGCAGCAATAAAGCTGACATCAGGTAGGCCTACTTCATTGGGACTCTTTCTTGTTTTGGGTTACATTTCGGAGTTAACATGAGCATAAAGAGGATACTCGGTTTCTAAAAATAACACTAGAGACCAATTTCTGAGGCTTTTTCGATACAATCATTATCCTCCTCCCACTAGTAATTTGAGGTGCACGTTCGGTGAAGCTTTACTCTGCCCATCCTCCTTAATGACTCCATAATAGCCTAATGTATGACAGTAGAGTAGGGCCATAATTCCCCCAAACATCGTATCTAAAAAGAGTTTATTTCTGCCTGTTTTGTTGTTTTTGCTCAAATGTGTGTAAAGTCAGAGGTTCCATACAAATGTTTCTGAGAAACCAGAATGATATGTGTCCTGGTAGAGGGAACTGCACGGTCAAACCTCTCCTGACACACCTCATGCATGTGGCAAATTACATTAGTTGTGTTCTGTTCACAAGGGTGCGCTTTTGACTCAAAGGAATCAGGATGCTTCGTACTTTGGCGTCATCTCCAGTTTCAAATGATCATCCAAAACAACAGTTTGAGGCAGAGATGGATACCATGTCACAGATACCATGTGACAGAGGGTCAACACTGACTGTGTACACATTGCAATGTTGGCTCTGGAGGCCCTCAGCTGTATTTTGTGATCTCCAACTTGAATATGAGGTGTATAGTATACACAAGCAAGTGTCCTGTTTTTGTTTAAACATGGTGGACAGTTTTTAGCTAAGTGTGGTTGACCCATGACATCTTAGCACAGGACAATAATTCAAATACAACCTTTGCTTCAGAATTGTTGACTCACCAAACAGTCCACATGTCAATGTATCTGTGCATCATCATTAGGGATTCAGTCTGAACAAGGGCTGTCCTCCTAACTTTCTTTCACTGTCTGTCTCACAGCATGAGTAAAGACGTCTCATTAATGCACACGCTGTGGACAAAGATCTCTGCTGTCTTGCCTAAAGATGAGGAACAGTTTCCACTGCCGTTTGGGGCCATAGTGGAGTCGAGTGTGGTGGAGATGCTGAGAAGGTCCAGGCGGCAGCTGTACAGCGACACCACCAGCGCCAGCCGAATGCTCACTGCCAAGGTCCTTTTGGATTTTTCATGGGAGAAACTCAATACTGGAACATGGCGCCATGTGGACAAAGAATGGAGGCGCGTTTATTCGTACGGCTGCCTCTTCAAAGTGGCCGCTCTGTGCCGCGGAGATCCGTCAGCAGAGGATGTCCTGGAGGCTCTGAGGACTTGTGACATGGGTTTACTCATGGGGGCGGCCATCATGGAGGATATACTTCAGGTTATTGTGCGGATTCTGCAAGGTGAAGTCAGGAAGTCTACTAAAGGAGAAGATGGTGAACACCCGCAGGTAAAGGTCGGTGATCCTTTGTCCCTTTTTATTTGATCATAAGTAATAATTTACCTCATTAGCACCATCAAAAGTGGTAAAAAAAGACTTGTTTTTCTTGAATTCTTAAGGCTTTAAGTAATTAAAGCACATTTACTATTAAATGTACAAGAATAAAAGGTAGCAGATCATCAGTCATTATCATAAAATAAGATGTGCACAACTTGTTCTATTTAAGTGACCACTGAGTGTCACCAATTTAGCCACACACTAAAGTAGTGGAAGTGTTTCCTTGTACGATGTGAGGGTCTAAGGACAGAGGGTGTCGTATTGTCACACTGATACTATGTACAAACTGAAGTCCACTGAGACAAATGTAACATTTGTGATATTGGGCTATATAAATAAACATTGATTGATTCAATGTTTACAACAATTGGTAACCTTGGAGGACATTTCAAAATAAGCTTCTCTAAAGTTTTAGAGAAGTATTTATTTTCTTTGTCGCCCTACATCTTGAGGCACTCTGTCAAATGTCACTGAAGATAAAGTGCAACAAACACTCACATGTCAGATCCCTTTGTTTAGATTCCTTAAGATTGAGACGGAAAGCTAAGAGTAGGGTTTGGAGGATTTTTCTCAATAACATGTTTGCTTTCTTTAAAAAAAATCCAACTGAAAATTGAACTCAGTTCATGCATTCAAAACTAAACAGTCCATGTCTGGCTGTAGTGGAGCTTAAGGCTGCAAATAACAACTCTTTGTTAATGTCTTTTGATCTTCAATACCCTTTTGATCAATCAATTGATCAACTTAATGCCAGAAAGAAGTACGAAATTGCCATGACAGTCTCCATAAACCGGTAGAGAGAACTTCATATCGGTTTCTATGCACTACCAACAGTCCACAACCTTTAATATTGCTCATCATCAATCCCGGTTTCGGCTCTAATGGTTCATAAAATGGCTGGAGATTGACTCATCTCTTAATCTTATAATCAATAAAGTTATTTTATAGAGAAATATGTCAACAGAACAGGGCTGCATAATGTGCAAAAACTATATTGATATTTTTTGACAGACATTTTAGATTTAGGATATTTAAATATGGCATAAGAGTATTTAACTTGTACAATAAAGTGATCTATTTGATTCAGAACTGAGTTGTTCTATTAGCTGCCTTTATCTGTTTAGTCATTTGATCCACATTACTGATGATTATAAATCAAAATCTCATGTGTACATTAGTTGTTAAAGCACGATTAGTAAATCCTACAACATCATTGCAATTTCAGAACTCAAAATATGATTATATTTTACTTTCTCCGTCTATCCCAGCCTGTTTACAGACACATTGTTTTTCTTGTTATTTTCCTCTTACAGCGCTCGTTTTTAGAATCGATTTGAATACTTGACAAACCCCCTTGTTGTGTTGGCGTCATCAACAGAGAATAAAGATGGAGTATCCGCATGTTCCTGTGATCAGAGAGGAGGTGGCCATTCCCAGGGTGAAGCGTCCTTCACTGGAGAGCTTCAACACAAACTACCTGCTCCCCCTCAAACCGCTCATCTTAGAGGGGACCATCGAGCACTGGCCCGCCCTCAACCAGCACCCCTGGAGGTTTGTTGTTTGTTGTTTTGAATCTGTTGTTCTATTTGTATTAAAACAGGCTATTTCTCTTTGTCCAGATACAATCACTACATCAGTCGTTTTCCCTGCTATACATTTTTTTTTATCAGTATTCACATGTCATGGACATTTCTACTGATCATAATTCCATTGTTGAGTTCTACTAGAATAGATTTACATTGTTCAATGTTCCAAACTCACATTGGTTTCTCATACAGCGTCTCTGTATAGTATGTGCATTCACTCTCTGTCCTACACGGCTTGTTGGAGCTCCTGCCCCCGCCCCCCCCCCCCTTCCTGTGAGCCCAGTGTGCTCTGATTGGTCAGCTCGCCCACTCTGTTCTGATGAGTCCACCACCGTTACAGCGGAACATCAGTGATTATGTGTCACAATGGCGTTAGCAACCAGAAAATGACACCAGTAATGACAAACAGATGAGAATGCTGCGTGGGGTCTGGAGCTGGGTTACTGGTGTCATTTCCTGCTTGCTGCGTGGGCTCTGCGAGACAACGAGACAATGCGAATGGACGCGGGAAAGGGGGGGTGCTGAGGGGCTGCAGTACCCCCATCTGCGAGGCTCCACTAGCGGTTGCAGACCGTTTACATGCATAAAAAGCTACATAACACACAAGGGGACGGGTAACAACCGGAAAAGCATGTCATGGGACCTTTAAGTCAAACTCTCTTCCAGGAAATAAGTTTAAAAATCATAGTCCTATATACGGTGGCCCACAGGGACAAACGCGCTACAAGGGCTCAAAACACGTCCGTTAGGAGAAACGCCCCTGCTGTTTCTCCTAATGGACGATGTAAATAAAAAAAACATAAATGTGCTAAAAAGACGTGCAAATGAAGAAGCATATTCATCAACTTGACGAAACAGGCAGCGTTTACTTAAAGAGCTGCATTAACTGAACATGACAAATAAAAAAATGCTGCAAGAAGCACAAATAACAACGGAAACGGGGACACTGAAAAGTGATGCACACAACTGGGATTGGAGCGCTTGTTGACGTAAAGTTGGCCAACTGTCACTCTCGCAGAGTTTGTGTATTTCATAATTGTAAGTGTTCACATTGTTAAAATAATCCAAAATTACCTGAAATGAAAGTATTGGCCTATTTTAACATAGCATTGCATGATTAGTGCATGTGCACGGGTTGGCCACCGTACCCAAAAGCTTTTATAGTCAATTTAAATTTAGAAAACAACACACGGTATTGCTGTAAGCATACACATCAGTAGTCCTCCAGCATTGTTAAACACTACTGCCCTCCTCAGACTGATTTACTTGTGACGCCAGCTGAGTGCACTCATCCAGAGGAGAAACCTGCACGACTCACTGAAGCAGCTCTGGCGTGTTACAAGCAATTCACATCAGTTTGTTAGCAGACACTTCGGTTACGTTTTCGTCTTAATTGCCTTAAAATGTGGAAATAACACAAAGTGAATTTATGTTGGTGTAGTTGTCAAAACACCCCCGATTCCTGACTCTAATGTCTGCCAGCGGAGGCCGATATAACTGCCTCTGCGTTTGAAGATGATCCCTCACTGTCCTCCCTCTCCCTGCCGCCTCCTGACAGCTGACTGCTCTCGCTGACACCTGACATACGGCGCCTGGCGTCTGACTCTCACTCTGACGGGGGGGGGAGGACATCCTGAAGTGCTCCCACAACATATATTTGAGCTGTGCTAGAACCCTGAATGACCAGACTTGAGGAATTATGCCATTTTTATTTCAGTAATGTTTGTTTTTCTTCATTCCGCAAAGCATAGAATACCTGAGGTCAGTGGCCGGCTGTCGGACGGTTCCTGTCGAGGTGGGGTCCAGGTACACGGACGAGGGGTGGTCCCAGACTCTGCTCACCGTCAATGAATTTATCGATCGATACATTATAAATAAAGTAAGTCCATCATTAACTTGTGCTGCATTGTTAACACGATCAAAACTATTTTCTAACTTGTTTTTGATTTGCTCTGTTGTTCTGAAATGGCTCAGGATGGAGTGAAAGGATCAGGTTATCTCGCTCAACACCAGCTTTTTGATCAGGTATGTTTTCTTTCCTCCTGACTACATGATTATGGAAATAATTATCTATTTATTTTGATTACCTATTGATTATTCAGCTTTTATTTTCTGGCACAATGTACAATTGAATTCTCTAACTGTCATCCTCAAACCACATTGCTTTAAAGACTATTGACCTTTTAGTCCTAATTATCAATAAATGGTCTGAATTGACCTTTACGGAGAGGGCATCATGTCAAGTTCATAGCTGTGAATTTGGTGAGGTTTCATGATTTATTTTACATGAAATCCCTATTATTAAGTGATAACTTGTTAATCAGCTAATAATATGTCTATTATTTGTATCAAGGAACTGACTTAAAATGTTGCATTATAATCGGAAAAGGAGACATTCGATGTTCTCCTTTGGATAATTAACATGAATTAATGAATTGAATGAATTAAGGATACAGTTGCTCCCATTTCAAATAGAAATGTACGGAAGCATAACAAAATATAAGAAAAGGAAATGATAAATTATATTTCAAAAAAGTACAATATACTTCAATATCTCACAATAAGAAATATTATAAAATAACATTTTAAATGTGTTAATTTAATTTTAAATAATGTATATAATAAAAATAAATATATATTTAACATAGAATCATTTCTATTATTATGCAATATGTGTGAAATTGTCCTAATTAGTGTGAATTATTTAGTTTTGACGGGTCACAGCGAGCTTGGTCCGACACAATCTAATACGTTTATTGAAATGTTGACAGTTTGTGACAAATGTTGAAGAAATTCCCTCTAGGCGTTCGTGTTTCTGAGATATAAGGTTCACAGGAAGTAGACAGACGAGCCAAACACAAAACGCCTGCGGCCACAGCTGTCGCCAGCAGGGAGGAATAGAAAACTATTTCTGATGAGACACTGGCAAATGTTGTGGTTAAAAACAACATGGTATAATTCTGTCAGTGTGAATTAAAGCCCTCCCTATGTGATTCTGTTTTTTAATGTTGCATTAGATTCCAGAGCTGAAGGCAGACATCCGTCCTCCTGATTACTGCTGCCTTGGTGAAGGAGACGAGGAGGACATCACTGTAAACGCCTGGTTCGGCCCCGGGGGGACCGTGTCCCCTCTGCACCAAGACCCTCAGCAGAACTTCCTGGCTCAGGTGACCAACACACAATGTTTTATACGATGTGATAATTATTCATTTTCAAGTCTGAAATGTTACAGCAGCTCCAACAGGAGAAATATTAAGACACACGATACAAGGAAAACAACATGTAACATAACATCACGATCACTGAAGAGAAACACGCTCAAGACCCTCTATCATACATTTAAACTTGGATTGAACTCCGAATTTGAGGATTGAATGGTGCACAAAGGATTGCTTCAGTCTAACTTTATTAAATCTTGGGACCCTCTATTTGTGATTTGATGGTAAAAATGAATATTCGCTGTTCAGGACATGGTTGTGGTCAGAGAGCATGTTGTTGGAAAGCCTCACTATGATGTTATGGTAGGCTGATTCATGAGTTTCTCACAGGGTTGACCTACAATCTTTGAGCATTTATTCAACTTGTGGAGCTTTTTTGATTTTAAAGCGGTAGACAAACACTTGTAGTATTGCAATACTGTAGAACAGTCAAAACCACAGATGTAAAAAAACAAAGAAGAATTTCTCTACACTCCCCGAAAGGCAGGCGGCGGAGAGAATCAATTCTTTGTTTTGTTCTTTTTCAAACATAAAGGGACAAAATAAAGAATGTATTTTCTCCGCCGCCTTAGGACTTTCAGGGCGGGTATGAATCCAGTTAAAGATATGTCACGTGACCGCGCTTTGTTTAAACCATGGGTTTCCCCGCTATCAGGTGGTGGGAAGCAAATACATTCGCCTCTATTCCCCGGAGGACACGAACAAGCTGTACCCTCATCAATCACAGCTCCTCCACAACACCAGTCAGGTGGGATTGACAGTCCATATATAGATAAGAAATACATGTTGGAGCCAGTTAATATATGCAGCATTTCCTCCCATGCAGGTGGATGTGGAGAACCCGGACCCAGAGCGCTTCCCGGAGTTTGCCAAGGCTCCTTATCTGGAATGTGTGTTACAGCCCGGAGACGTGCTGTTCATCCCCGTCCAGCACTGGCACTACGTCCGCTCCTTAGAGCTCAGCTTCTCTGTCAGCTTCTGGTGGTCATGACTGCACAAATCTTTAATAAAAAATATACTTTTTGTACAATTCAGTTGTTTTCTGTTTCTGTGGAGGCAAACCAATTTGGGAGTTTTTAACTAATGCAAGGCTAATTCTGATAAATCTTAGGACCGGCACTGATCACACAAACCTTTGATCCACGAACAATAAACACACACCGCTGAGTGATTAGTTGAATTGTGCCGCTGATGATTGCAAAAACATCCATTGTGTGGAAAGCTGGAAGAAAAAACAAATGAGCAGTTAAAACTGTTTGTGCTCATTTCAACCTGCAATTACAGAGCAGTGTTAGTCATCTCCTTTGATAGGGTATGTTTCTCTTTTCAAATTGGCATATTTAATTGTGTTCTCAACCTTATTCCTACAACTATTCTCAGATGTATGATTTCCATAATTCATGGAAATTAGGCAAGTCTTCAAATGTACTAACCGAGCGAGCTACAGGTACAAAGATGGTGATAAACATGGCTCTGTGGTTAACTGACAGCCAGAGGCAATTAGGCAGGTCGCAGATTAAATTAATAAATGAAATGAATTAATCCCCTGGGAAAAGACAGGCTTTGAAATTAAAACAGCAGCCTGACAGTACAACTCCTGTCTCACAAACGCAACACCTGACTACAAAGACGGCAACACTTCGTTTCACTTTTCAGACCTCTGACAAACCCGTCATTATGCCGTCGGTTTGTTTCAATCAAACCCTCTAATTAGAGTCAAGCAGTATGACAGAAGTGACAACATTAAGTAGATCAGCACTGATTTACACATTTATCTGCCTTTCAACCCAATTCACAGTCTGCACACGGCAGACAAACATCTGAGGAGAAGGTGAAGAGTTTCGTAGGATTTTTCAGCCCAAATAAATAGATTTAAATACAATTTTTTTTTTTTTCAACGAGTGCAGTCTAAAACGATAATGTGGCTAAATCAAACATGCATAATTTGCTGCAAATGTAAAATAAAATGAGTTTAAATTGTCTCTCTTTGACGGGTGACTGAAATTTGGAATCACTGTTTTCTCGAAGTGCTTGTAAATATGGGCTCATTCATGCATTTAAATTATGAATAGTAACCAGAGGTGGATGAAGTATTTAGACCTTTTACTGAAGGACAATTACTTAAACCAAATTGAATAAATACACATTGAATGCAATCCTTAAAGGTCCCATGTCATGCTTTTCCGGTTACCCGTCCCCTTGTGTGTTATGAAGGTTTTTCTGCATATAAACGGTCTGCAAAGTCACAAACCCTCAAAGTACACCCTGTAGCGAGTAAAACTCTAACACAGAAAAGACCTGTCTATGCTGCCCCAGAACGCCTCGTTGGAGATTTCCCTTTTTCTTCCTGGGTATAGTGACGTGCCCATACCCAAGGACCCAATGGTCTAAATGGATCAATCCGTGGAGCCGTTACATTGCACAATATAAATCTATTTTAGTATACCTCAACAATGGAATTATGATCAGTAGAAATGGCCATGACATGGGACCTTTAAGTAAATGTATGAAAACATTAGCATCAAAATGTACTCAAGTTCCATTTCAGAACAGTATATTTATTTATTTATATTTATGATAACTGTGATTGCACCAATGTGTTCATCACGTCAAAGTTGATTCTGGTAAAGGTGCAGCTTTTTTTTACTATCTATACTGCTGGGGAGCTTGTGAATTTCACCAAAGGATCAATAAAGTTTTATGTTATCGGTCTTAGTTTAATCTAACCTATTAAAAATGATGATACATATTTTTTATTGTAAGTTAAAGTATAATATTTCCCTCTTGAGATGTAGGGGAGTAAAAGTATTAGCAGGAAGTGTCAACTCTCAGTTCAAGTACCTCAAAATTGAAAAAAGTAAATGAACTGGTCGGGGTTTAACAGTTAACATGTAATGGCTTCTCCCTTACCCCATGCTACACCCGTCCACCATGTTTTATAAAAATCCGGTCAGAAGCGTTTCCGTAATCCAGCTAACAAACAACGCAACCTGAAAAACCTCCATTGCGAGGGTAATATCTAAGAGCTGGTGCATTAAACATTGCCTGGGTTCAGGTAATAGACTTATCCTAACGTATTTACTTTCCTTACGAGGCTAAACCAATAATATGAACCCTGCAGAGTTTAATTCTGTAAGTAAATGCTGTAAACTTCATTTAGCCCTTCAGTGCTTTGTTGTCGTCAAGTACGTGGCACAATTGAGTTAGGATCACACAAAACAGCTTACTCCCATTAAAATGTAATCAATACTCAATTACCAGTGAAGTAATTTGGGATCTCGGGGTCTTAACCCTTTCGCTTCCACCGACACCCTCTGCCCCCGCTCTTTTGATTAATGGGCTCATGGATTTTCAAATAAATCTGGCAAATCAGGATAAAAAGAGCGATAGATGTATCTTGTTTTGTGGGAGAATGAACTGGATGTACAATGGTTATGTTGTGGTGAGTAAAACATCCCTATAAATGTAGATCTGAAACACAGGCTGATTTATGGGTTATAAACAATGTAATCAATAATTATGAGTGAATATTCCTCTAAAATAATGTGTGTCTATGCATTGAATCTTTTGTTGTTTTTGGTGGCCTAGACACCATCTGAGTTATTACAGTTTGTATAAGAAAAATATTACATAACACAGTTGTTCCTTTTCATTTTGGATGAAATCTCCAAAAATGAATACAACTTTATTTATCAAGATAGGGAGAAAACATTGAAAAAATGCAAAATGTACAAACAGAAAGTTAAGAACAAGGATTGTCAGGCATTAATTAGTTTACATTTATCTTAAACATGACAGGAACAGTTTTACATGACTTTCTCTCTTCCATTTTCATTGTGACAAACTATGAACAGCTTTTAAAGTAAAAGTCAAATTAAAAAATATGTTTTAACCATATAACACTGACTTCAATTACAAACCTGAGCTGGAAGCAACTCTAACTAAGTACAAAAAAAGGTAAGTGGTCATGTTTGTAATGATACAATAAGATCAACAGTGCAGGAGGAAAATAAGGTAATCATTAACGATGAGATTGTTTAGTGTTGGGATTTATAGAACAGAGAGCAAAGGTCCATGATTCAAATGTTCTAAAGGCAACTCAGTATCACACGTTGCAACAACTCAAACTACTTTAATGTTATCCCAAGGTTTATGACATATAGTGCATAGTAATAAAAAATTATCAAATGACTCCTGATGGAATAAAACATGATGGATTGTTCCTCTGATGGCTGTAGTTCTTCCCACTAACACATATTAAAAAATCATTGCTGATGCAGAAATGTCTTCTGTCTAATATTCCGGCAGGTCTACAGACAGGTTCTGCACCCGCTCCACCACGAAGAAGCAGAGCGTCCCGGTGAAGCCCAGGATGACCATCAGCAGGAGCTGCCACTTCAGCAGGATGTACCCGCTGTAGAAGAACGCCACGGCTGCAAAAACAGACTGAGAGAGGATAAAAGATATAGGATGCTTCAGTTCAGCCGACAAAATCCATAGTTCATTGTACCAGTTATATAACTGAACATGCATTGTTAAAGGGGCCCTATTATGCTCATTTCAGGTTCACCCTCTGTCTGAAACCCAGTCGGCTCTGATTGGTTAGCTGGCCGGCTCTGTTGTGATTGGTCAACCACTTCGAGATGTCCCTCCCTTTGCATATCATCGCTATCCAATAGAAGAGCGAGTGTTACGTAGTGATGTCATTATTATTGGTACTGAAGTAAACAAAGGAGTCTAATGAAAGTGTTTCAGGCAGGAGAGAAACTCCCTCTGAAGGGAACTATGTGATTTTCGCCTTTGCAGACTATTTACATGCACAAAACCCTACATAACACACTAGAGGAAAGGGAAAACCCCAAAAAGCACAATAGGGCCTCTTTAAATGCAATCAAATTAACTAATAGATAAAGTAGACCTTTTGCCAATGCCATCAGTATTTGTAATCATATCTAATTTCCTGCTGTTTTTATATTTATAAAATATTTAGTGCAAATCACTTTCAAGTCAAAAATAATGTCAATGTGTTGATTTAATGTGTATGTATTAGTTTCTTTTACCAAAGTATTAAAATAAAAACACACTACTTTATTCAAGATCTGATTGGCTGTATCAAAACAAGGTATTTTATCATTAGTCAAATAAATGCAAAACTACGGTGGGCCATCATAAAAGCAAGAAATTACCATTTTAATTCCCCCCCTTTTGGGATCTGTGTTTTTTAGAAAATGGCGGTTCACAGAGCAGATATGTATGCACTAAGAGTACACAACTGCATTTTAATTGGAGTTAATTTCACATTCAATTCCTATGGTGTATTTCTTGTTAGAGACCAATTTCGCAGCAAAGACAAAGAGAGGATTAGGAGGTGTGTGAAATGTCTTGTTCTTTCCCTTTTTTAATGGGACTCCAGGTGAATGTATTTCATACTTGACAAAACAACACTTTAACCTAGCTTTGCTCAGCTCTGCTAACAAATCCTGGGAATTGGCGACTCGGGATTACCTGGATGAATTTGAAGATGGCAAAAGCAGGCGCGCTCTGCTCAGCATAAACACATCCTAATATGCTGTAGAGCTGCGTGTTGAAACAACTGTCCCCGAGTCCGAGCAGGAAGCTGCACAGCAGGGCGATGGACACGCTGAGAGAGAAATATAGTTATTATTAAAGATTGCTGAAGAGGATTGTAACTGGCCTTCCTGGCGTTCATTCTTCTTGTTAAAGGGTTGGTTAGGGATTGTTTGAAGAGAGCTTGAAAAGGCTATGTATTAACAGTGTATTAGCTACAGTAAATGGTAGCTAATCAAATAAAAGAGCACCAGCTAGGTGACCTTGGTTAGTTTAAATGTAAAAGTTGCATAATAAAACAGAGGAACTGACTTATTGAAGCCTTGCTAGATTCAAGATTCAAGGCTTGTATTGTCATGTGTATATAGCTACAGTGTAGTTATGTCAATGGCAATCTTAGATCAGCAACTTCTGTGTATTGTGAGGTCAAATTACGGAGGTCAAAAGAGTCTGGTAGTTTTGATAA